GTGACAGCATGTGCAGTCTAAGGGGAAGACAAATATGAGTATCTGAGGAAGCCTACGGAACGTCACTGACTGTGGGGACTTGGTGCACTGAAATAACACTATACTAAGAATGAAGCTTCAGTTAGTAAGAACACTGTGAAGGAAATGGCTAGTGTCAGGACTGCAATTTCTTTTTTCCTTTTTTCTTTATTTGGCATACCTGGAAAATTCACTTTAGTTAAATTCCCTTGTATCCGTGATAATGTGCAGACCATAGTATTCATGAGTAAAAAGATAATGGAATCCAGGAAGCTGGAACAGCCCTATCATTTGAAATTCTTGGTAACTGAGGCAAGAGGACCAGAAAGAAGTTAAAGACCTGCTTAGACCACATAGTGACTTTTAAATTCAGGCTGTGCAACTCAGTGCGATTCTGTCTCAAAATACTCGGTTGCAAAAAAGACTGGAGATAGAAATAAAAAAAAAACAGTGGAAAGGACTTACTTGGGAAATGCTTTTAGCAGTTGTTCTAGTCATCTGCTTCTGTGCAGACAGTTACCCAAGTGTCATAGCTTACACTCTTTGTCATGATCCGGCAGGATGGTATAGCTCAGCTGGGTGGATATTCTTGGAGACCTTCACTGGATTCTGTTTGACACCCCACAGCTACAGACAGTAGAGGTTATGCTGGGTTTTCAGAGCCCTGCACATGCTGCCTGTTGATGAGACAGGAGATGCCCCGAGGTTGCACAGAGGCCTGTTATGCCGTTTAGTTTTCACAGCTTAGTTCTTGGGTTCTAACAGAGAATACTAGAGGAAAGGCTTTGCATAGGCCCAGCTAACCTTAGGCTCCAATTTCTCAATTCTGCAGCAGTTTGCTGGCCAAAGGCCTCTCACTCACAGAAATGGAAATACCTCACATCTTAACACACCAAGTTTAAATGACCGTCTTGCAAAATAGTAAGTGGCTTGGCAGCCATCAGTGAGGACATTTATTAATAGTGTAAAACACAACTGCACAATGGTCTATCTAGGTGGCCTATAAACCCAGTACTTAGCAACATGACTTAAGATTGTTAGTAAGCATAGTAATCAGTTAGTAGCACGATAGTCAATAGCACTTAATACCTCTACATTCATTGCTAAATCCTGAATATTCAATATTAATAAGCACATGTCCTAACACAGCAAAGAGGGTATTTTTGAAGTACAGTGCTATGCAGGGAAGAAACCAGTTAACATTAAAAAATGATTCATTGTGTCTATTTATGTATGCCTCTGTATGTATGCATGCACACACGCTTTTAAGTATACATGAATGTGTGTGTTCATGTTCGAGCCAGTACATACACAGAAGCCAGTAGAGGGTGCCAGATTCCTCTGGACTGAAGTTGTAGGCATTTGATCCTCAAGGATTGTGCAGCAAGCATTCTAAACCACTGGGCCATATCTCTAGCCTCTAGATAACCTTAATGATAAATGACCAGATGTATTCACCTTAAGGTTTATGGTCCATGTGGTGATTGTTATAATTCTTCTGTTGCGGTGTGGGATGACCCATGGACAACAAAGAATCTAGTAAATGAACCTTAGATCACAAAACAGGTGGCAAGACATATTTGACCCAAGGACTACTGTTTGCTTACCTGCTCTCTGATCTCTCCCAAGGAAGAGCATGTGGTGTCTTGCTATTGAACCATTAATAAACTTGGTCATGAGGTAAGGCCTATAAATTCTATCAAATCTGATTTGATCTTGTTACACACATGCTTGCTTAGAGTCTATTGTTTAACATGAAATAATAAAGGTCTAAAAGTACTGAATTCCACTTGCCATCAAAGAAGGGTGGCCTAGAGTTTATTTTGGGTTTTTCCACATTTAAATGCACCTGTACTGGCTGCATGAGGCAGAAACAGCAGAGCTCACACTCTTTATTATAAAATTGTAGGTCCTGGAGAAGGAATGAAACTTTATTATGGAATATTTGGAGTTTATAGAGCTTAATCTAGACTATCTTTAAATTATCTTTAAGACAAAGCAAAATGAGTTTCCTAGATGTTATGTCAAAAAAAATCCCCTTTTCTAAAGCAGTATTTCTCTAAATGGAAGCCCCTGACTGCCATTGTGCCACGTGAGGCCAGTGGCAGAGAGTGGCCATATAAGGCTGGTGTGCATAGTTCATCGCACAGCAACAAGCTTTAGAAACTTGTCAGAACACACACAAATGTAAGGTAAACATTTAGACTCAATCACAAAGCATTTTTCTTTCTTTTCTTAAATATGCAATAAAAAGATTTCAAAAGACATTAAAGAGTGAGAAACACACACACACACACACACACAAACACACACACACACACACCAAACCAAACAACCCAAAAGATCCCCCCTAAAACAGAAAACAAAACAAAACAAATTAACCTAACAAAGAAACAAAAACAACATGTGGGAATTTCCTTATCAGTGGAAAATTTAAACTGCTTGCAATTTTTGACACATATATTAGCAACTGAAAAACTGTAAAGGTATTTTTAGCAGTGTTATAAATAAATTATTTCACAGAACAGTTGAATATAGATTTGGTTTGCTGTGTTCATTTTTACAATGCTCCTTTGATGTTTGTGACAAGGTATCATGTAGTCTAGGCTGACTGTAAACTCAGAATATTCTGTGTCAGCTTTCAGAGTGTCTGGGCTTTGGATGTACTCCAACACTCCAAGCTACAAACTTCCCTTAAGCGTTTTGTATTTTAGGAAATGAGACATCCTTAAAAAGGCGGGGTGTTCAAATTTTAAAAGCACACTATAGACATTAAGAAAAACATTTTCTACTTTCAGGAAAGAAAAATAAGCTTAGGGAAATTTGAGGGGCAGCAGAAGTAACTGCAGAAAATGCTTGCTTAGTAATTCTTCACTAAGACCTAAGTCATTGCAATAGGCTGATTCTGAAAAGGGAGGACACAGTTTTGTATAAATCAGCAGGTGATGTGGGATAATGTTCACTGTAAATATTTGTCACTCATATTGGTTTAATAAAATGCCGACTGACCAGTACCCAGGCAGGAAGTACAGGCAGGGCTATCAGACTAGGAGAATGCTGGGAAGAGCAAAGTCAGAGACAATCTCCAGCTAGACACAGAGGAAGTAAGATGAGAATGAAACACTAAGGAAAGGCACTGAGTCACACGGCTAAACATAGATAAGAATTATGGGCTAATTTAAGTTGTAAGGGTTTTTTAGTAATAAGCCCAAGTAATAGGTCAAACAGTTTGTAACTAGTATAAGACTCTGTGTTTATTTGGGACTGACAGACTGCAGGGCCTGGCAAGACAGAAATTTTCACCTACAAGCAACTCTTTGTTAGTCATCTCTATTTTAATGAACAAAAATTCAAGCTTGTATGTAAATTCATGTGTGTCTCTGTCTCCATGACAGTGTGAGATTAAAATCCCACAGCTGTTGCAGATGGAAGGAAGGAGAAAATGATGCAGGAAGAAAGAAAATCTAGAATCAGGATGCTTTTTACATTCTTGGATTATGCACCAAAGCACAGGTGTGAGGTTTTCTATAAGAAGTATAACCATAGGCTTCTCAGTGGGATTGCATCTTGAAAATCCTCTGGTTCATTTTTTTCACACCAGTCTAAGCTCTTCAAAGTAGACAGGCAACAGGGTAGACTCCCTCTATTTCATCTGATGGGTTCTGTTAAACTTCTGGAACTCAGAGATGAGGCTTTATTTCCATCTTTATTATCACATGTAACACCACAGATGTCCTTGATATGAACTTTCCTATGTGGCTAGAAGCTTTTAAATGCTATTTGTGCTTACGAGGTTGAGGAGATGGCAATAAGTAAACATTACAAGGAAAGGTGACAACTCAGTGGAAGAAATATTGACAGCTCTGATGTCCACAACAGAGGTGGGTTCTGATGTCTTCAGTCACAATTGTGGTTGGTCTTACTACATCTTGGAATTGTTAAACTTGTACACAAGACTGCATGTTTATATAGCATCCAAGAATGACAATAAATATGTCTTTAAGTTGCCCTGCCCTAGGGGTACATCTGTGATGAGCAGAGATGTACATGTCCCACAGCATAGGCAGGCCACACTGTCTTCTTGTAGTGTTGGTGTGCGTGGTGTGGACTCATTGCTTGATGTAATGTGAGGGCAGCTTCTAGCTGTGGGCTTGATGATGAGGTTTCCCAAAGAAGAAACATGCTGAAGTGTATGCTACCTCAGTTTGTTTTCCCAGGCAAACCAATCATAAAACAGTGCACAGGTCTTTTGCGATGTTTCCTGTCATGTGCTGCTTGTCTCAACCGTTTGTGTTTGTAGTCTTGCTGCAGCAGGGGATCAATTATCTGTGCTGCTTACAGAAAGCATTGTCTTTCTATGTTTTCAGTCTGTGCTTTCCTCATGCATCCTCCCCAGCTCAGCTCCTTCTGCTAGATGATTCTGTTTATCTAGAACTCTCTTTTCCTGTTCTTGCAGGTTTGACTCTAAAGGAATTTCATCATCTTTTCATGAAAAAAAAGCTTGCTTTGTTTCTTCTTAAGTTTTCTCTATCCCTAATGCTTTCCTTTTCTGCTCACCACGCTGAAATTAACACCAATTTTACGGGGTGTTCCCTGGGCTAGATGATGCCTTCACGTCTGCCTACTAGGATATGTCTGACACTGATTTCAAGTCAAAGATTTGATCATGACACTGAAAATGACTTCTGTATGTTCAGCCAATGTGTAGTGCTAAATGCCTCCACCTCAGACACTTTGTTCCTAAGAGGAACATCTATTGTTCTCAAGAGACTCCTGTGGTTTGTTCTGTAATTAAAATGCTGTAACATTTCCAAAACTGTTTTTTCATATGCTAACCTCCAAAGAGGACACTCATAGTAAGCAGTTATTGTACTACATCTAGTTCACAAACTTCATTCTCCAACTAAGCCAATTAAACAGAATTCCCTGTCGTCCTAGTAGTAATGGGGTTTTTCCTCCATCACTTTCCTTTTCCTTTGCAGATGGGGACTGGAAAGTGACAGTTGTCACTGGAGATCTTGAAAGGGCTGGCACCACGGCAACAGTATCCCTTTGTGTTTATGGAGAAGCAAAATGTTCAGGACCTATAATTTTGGGGTCTGGAAAGCACCACCTGTTTAACCCCAACAGTGCAGATATATTTAAGGTAAATACACTTGACCCTGATTTGTTCACTAAGATATATTATGGTATGGTGTGGTGGTTTGAATATAATTGACTCCCTTAATCTCATAGGGAGTGGCACTATTGGTAAGTGTGGCTTTGTTGGAGTAAGTATGGTCTTTTTGGAGGAAATGTGTCACTGTGGGTAGGAGGCTTTGATGTTTGCTATGCTTAGGATACCTCCCAGTGTTTCAGTTGACTTCCTGTAGTCTACAAGATGTAGCTCTCAGCTCCTCCTGCAGCATCCTATCTGCCTGCATGTTACCATTTTCCCCTCCATGATAATAGATTGAACCTCTGAAACTGTAAGTGAGCCACTCCAATAAAATGTTTCCTTTACAAGAGTTGCAATGGGCATGGTGTTTCTTCACAGCAATGGAAACCCTAAGATAGAAGTTGGTACTGGGGTACTGCTAGGGTATTGCTGGCCTGACCAGGTTTTTATTTGGAGGGATGTGACTTTGATAGTTTGGGTTTGGAAAGCAGGGGAATGCTTTATGCACTGCTTAATGAACCATACTAGCAAGAACATCTAAGACACAGATGGTAAGGGTTATCTGAACTGTTGGGGGCTGGCCCAAGAGTTTACAGAGGAGAATTTTAGTATGTTGCCTAGAGATCATTCTTATGATATTTTGGTGAAGAAAGTGTCTGCTTTTTGCCCTTGTTCAAAGAGTTTGCCTGATGCTAAAAATGAAGAATTTTGGATTAATTATGTTGGCAGAGGAAATCTTAAAACAGCCTAGTATAGAATCTGTTGTGTGGTTATTAGAGGTAATTCTAATGAAGATTTATAATGGAAAAGAGCAAGATGAGCAGGATAAATTACAAAATATAAAATGTAAAGCTACAAAATATAAAGAGGAACACCAAAAAGTGGATAGAACTAAATTCTTTGTTCAAGGACATAACAAGATTAAGAAATGGGATAAATGGTGATCTCAGGGCAAGATCCCACCCAGTTAAGTTTCCAACTTGTGAAAGGAAACTGAAGAAAAGCTTAGAATTAGGCATGGTGGGGCAAACCTTTAATCCCAGCCCTGGGAAGGCAGAGGTGTGTGGTTCTCTGAAGTTGAGGCTCGCTTGGTCTAGACATCCCGTTTCAGAACAGCCAAACTTAGGCAGTGAAGAATGGAAAGCTGGTGAAAATGTACTTGAAGTAGGGGTCATGTTCCAACCCCAGTAAACAGAAGAACTTGGTACTTTCAGTCCATGGTATGACTTCAGAATTAAGGATAGAAGAAATTTGCTCCCATGCCTAAATAAAGCTGACAAGGGCAGGCATGTGTCAGCAGTGTCCACGAATGGAGGACTAGTGGAGAGACCATAGAGTGAAGCTGTGAAGATTGCTTTAGAGGACCCAAGACATTAAAGATGCCATAGTCATGGCATACATGCTGAGGAGAGCAGCTAATAGGGAGGGAGTGAAACCATCCAAATATAAGTAAGTGTGTTGCAGTCAACAAGCTGAATGGAACTGGAGATCTGAAAGGTGTTTTGACATCATACGTGGAGATGCAGTTTTGGGTTTTTCCAGCTGTTTTTTTGGGCTTACTTTGTTCCAGTATTTCCTCATTAGCTCCTTTCCCTACATTTTAGAACTGTAATGTATATCCTGTCATCTGGTTTTTAATTTTGATTTTTATAGGTGATTACAGTTAAGAGTTTACATGACTCTCAAAAGAGACTTTACACATTGGACTGTAAAATATTGTTGAGACTGTGATAGAGTATGGGGACTTTTGAAGTTGTTCTAAATGCATTTTGAATTATGCTATTATTATAAGCTTATGGGGGGCCACATGGAGTAGAATGTGGTGACTTGAATGTAATTGACCTCCATAATCTCAAAAAGAGAATAGTAATGTCAGGAGATGTGGGATGGGTATGGTCTTGGAGGAAGTGTGTCACTGTGGGAGTGGGATTTGAGATTTTCTATGTTCAGGATACCCAGTGTCTCAGGTGATTTCCTGTTTCCTGCAAGATGTAGCTCTCACCTCCAGTACCACATCTGCCTTCATGCCACAATGCTCCTCATCATGATATTAAGGGACTGAACCATTAAAAGTGTAAGCGAGTCACCCCAATTAAATGTTTTCCTCATAAAAGTTGCCATGGTCATGGTATCTCTTCAAAGCAATAAAAGCCTTAAGAAATATACCTTTCCAAAAATGGACTTAAGAATGACTTTTTTGTTGTTTTGGTGATGTGTTTGTACACATTTTTTTGTAATGCATGAAAAGTTTTATGTTAAGGCAATTTGGAAACCTCAAAAGCAATAGGAATATAAGATATTTTGTTTTTTCCTCATGTTTTATTTGTATAAATAAAGGAACAAACACATGAAAGAAGAAATGTTGAAAACAGAGCAGTACATGCTATTACTAATGTTTCCAGTAATCTGAATGCTTTTGTTTCTCAGTATCTGTGACACCTGCCAAAACCCATGTTTGTCTTCTCACAGCAGCACCTGCTATAAGTCATGGAGTTACTTTGATGGAAAGAGGCATATGGCAGTGGGGTCATCTCAGTAGGCAAGCAATCAGGATTTGTAGGCTGCCTTTGACACCTACAAGCATGGTGGCCTGTACATAGTACTTCACAAGTCTTCGTTTTCTCCACAAGTTCTCCCTTAACTTGATTCTAAAAGGATATAATGAAATCATCCTTATTAAATGGCCTGAATTGTTTAACTATTTATGAATAAGATTACAATTCACATGTAATTTTATAGGAACTTTGTGTGCATATTTTACAACTCATGCAAGGAGCCACATAATTTGCTTAATCATAATTTTCATTGGTTATGGGATTATACCACAGATAAATGAAATGCTATGGTATTGTTAAACACTTAAACGGCTTCTAGGTCTTTATCATTATAAATAATGATGCAATCAATAAGCATGTCTAATGGGGGAAAGTCCTTCTGTGTATATGTTGTCATATTGGTTTATTAAATAAAGCATTGTTGGCCAATAGAGAAGCAAGATAGGTGGGACTAGGAGTTGAGGAGGATTCTGGCAAACAGAGGCACAGTCAGTCACAATGTAGGACACCAGAGAAGTAAGTGGTCTGGACCCTTTTCTCCAGTAAGAGAAGACCAAGTGGAAACACTGAGATTAGCAGTTATGGGTTAATAATTAACTCAGAGATAGCCAAAAAGAAAACAAGCAAACAGCCAACAGCTTCATAATTGATATAGTGTTTCATGTGTTATTTGGGGGATGAGGCAGCTCAGGACCCAGGCAGCTGGTGGGAAGACTACACGTCACACATGTCTTTGACCTTAACTTTCTTCCTTCTTTAACAAACTCTGAGAAATAATGCTCTTTGAATAAGAATTGTTTTTTACCAATTTCATTTTTAAAACATCTGCTTTATAAAGTATAGTATTCAGTGGGACACAGTGAATAAATGATAAATTTTGCTTGCTGTTGATCACTGCTACACACCATATTGCACTCTATTCCTGTCACATGCGCTATTTAATTCCTTCCGATTTAAATGTCTGAGTTCCTTTTCCAGCCAGAGACTGTGGCACCAGGAACGTTAAATCTTACCTTCTTATTTTAAGAGCTTTATTGAAATGCAATTTGTGCATTACAACATTCGCACATTTACACTCTAGTTCACGGCATTTAATATATTCATAGATTAGCACACTAATCAGCACACTCTAATTTTAGACTGTTTTTACCCTAAAAGAAAAGCCATAATCAAAAGCAGTTTGCCTTCTAATTCCTTATCTCCAAGCTTTAGGAAACCATTACCATTGTCATACTTTCTGTCTGTACAAAACTTGCTTGCTCTGGGCACCTCACAAAAGCAGAATGATGAGGTGACACAACACAAAGCTTTTGAGTCTACATTCTTTTACTTTCCATAATGGTTTTAAGATCAGCCCATGTTGGGGCATGCATCAGTACTTCATTCTCTGGTAGCTAAATTATATTCCACTGACTTGATGCACTGAAATTCATCCATCTATTAGTTGATAGGCCTTTGGGTTATGTCCACTGTCAGCCTCTGTGGATATCCCTATACATGTTTTTGTTGTTGTTGTTAGCATGTTATCATTTCACTATGAATATAATGTTTGTGTCACTTGGCAATACCATACTTAGCATTAACAAACTGCTGACTTACTAAAAAGGGATTTCATTACTGGTTATATCCCTGCCAAAACTGTGCAGCTTTCTTTTTTTCCTAGATTCTCACCAAAATTCTTTATTGTCTGTCATTTTTTAAAAAGAGCATCCTAGTGGGTATAAAGTCTTGTCTCAATGCATTTCTGATGCATTTGCCTAATAACTAATGGTGTTCAGTGTCGTTTCATGTGCTTGTGGAATAATTTGTGTGTCTTTAAAAAGTCTATTATTGTCCTTTGTTCATTTTTAAATAGATTTTTAAATTAATGAGTGATCATATAGTCTGAATACGAATCTCTGATGTTATATTTCATTCACAAGTATTTCCCCATTTGATCTTTCCATTGTCTGGACACACATTTTCATTGCCTCCTAGTACACTTTCAAGTCACCCTGAGACTTCCTGTTAACATACCTAGTAGGATTATCTGCTGGTGAATTCCAGGTTTACTCTATTTGAAAGTATCTTAGTTATGAACATAAAGGTCTTTGCTGATAATTTTCTCTCATCATTTTGAGAATGTTGAGCAACTTACTATCTGTGGACCTCCTAGCTAATGAGAAGAAATCATCAATGATCCCACCAAGGATCCCATTTTTGTGATATTATTTCTCTGTACTACTTACAAGATTCTTTTTCTCTGTGACTTTAAGTGTGTGATTATGTTATGTCAAGATGTGACTCACCTTACTGTTGGTTTCTACAACTTCTATGCTTACAGGGTTATTAATTTTCAATGATACTTATAGCTGTGGATAGAGGAGAGAGTCAATAAATCTACAATGCACAGACTCTGGTTCTTACCAGCCTTACACATGGACTTTGATAAAT